GCCATTCAAACTTGTAAAGGACAAGCACCACCCGCCGAGGAGGACAATGATTACAAAGTTTTAGTACTAATTAATACTAATGATTAAGTTTTATGATTTTGTTTGAGACTGAGTTTTCAATCTTCTGTTGGGCTCTTTGGCATTACAATATACGGCCCAGTTTGATAGGAAACCCGAGCTGTAGCTCATTCATTTTAAATGGGTTGCGTTTTAGGTTTCACGAATTGGACTAAAAGGACAGTTCATGTAACCTATATGATGAGTTGGTATTGGTTTCATCAATCGGAAGCGAGTCCGTGACTTAGCTCTCTTGTAACCATTTTAAAGAAAAAGTGAAGAGAAAGAAAGAAATAAAAAAGAATAAGACTTCATTTTTTTATATATACAAATAAGAACGAGACATGTTCATTGATAATTGTTGCTGCTGCAAAGTTGCAGAGGAATCCTTTTGCTCTTGCTGGAAACCTCATCTCTGGTATCTGTTTGTCTTCACCTTCTTCTCTCGATCAGAGGGACAGGATAACAAGTCAACTTGCTTCGTATATTTTCAGTATTTTGAAGGCATTGAACCCGGCCAGAGACTCACATTATTGCGTCAGGAGATGTATATTTGAAAAAATATATATTATACTTTGTGTTATATTTAATTGAAAAAGTGATAATAAAATTCTTTTGAATTATGTAACGATAATTTGATTTTTTGAAATGCCATAATAAATAAAATTCTTAGAGACCTTTTTGTCAATAACTATTTTAAAGAAAAGATCATTTTACTTTAGTAACAAATGATTTTTTTTGTTCAATTCTTGCTATTATTTGAAGAAAAGTTATAATTTTTTAAACAAAAGTTGTGAATGAAATTTGTTATTTTGAGAACTTATTTTTCAATAATAAAAATTACACTTGACAATTATGATTTTTTGTTTAGAATAAAAATTGTTATTCCTTAAATAAAAGTTGGGGCTTATTTTTAATAATAGAAATTATATTTTGACAGTTGTGATTTTTTTATTCAACTATTGTGATTTATAGAATAAAAATTATGATTAAATCTTGTTATTTTCAATAAAGGTAAAATAATTTTTTTCTAAAAAAAGTTATTGACAAGAAGATTTCTAAAAACTTTACTGATATTATGGCATTTTGAGGCATCAAATTATCAGTTACATGATTTGAAATAATTTATTTTCATTTTTTATTTAACTTTTCTAATTAATTTTTGAAAAGAAGTAGAAAAAAGGGATTTGGTGAAAGCATAACGATGAAATTATATTTAATTTGATTAAAATTTATTAAATTTAATTTAGTATATAGGATTTAATATTATTTATTTAGTATCTTGGTTTTTTTTATTTTTAAACTATTATCTTGAATAAAATAAAGTATTATAATTTAAATTTAAATTTATTATTATTATTAGATATTTATAAATAGTCATAAGGTTTCTCATTTATATTAAATTTTGACATTTAAATAAAAATTATATAGTTCTCTTTGTCCACCTTCTTTCTCTTCCCCTCTTCCCTTTTCCTCTTTGTCCTTGATGCATAATTGTAGTGCTTTTTTTTCCCCTACCCTACACTAGACCCAATTGCTGAATGATATTGATATGTAGTGTTTGAACTTAAAATGTGTACATTTAAATAAAGGTTCATAATAGTGAGAAACAAAGAGTCAAGCCCAATAAGTCACTCAATAAAGCAAAACACAGTTCATTTAAAATAGATCTTTTCAATTAAATAAATAAATAGAATAAAGTATTGAGTAGTATGAGATAATGAGTGATGTGGGGTAGTTTTAAAAATAGTAAGAATAATTATTATTTTCAAGTTATTTTATATATTATCTATTTAATAATATTTTTTAGATTATTTTCTATTTTGTTGAGTTGTCGTTAAATTTAGGAGTAATGGGTATTGTTGATTATATAGTCATTCTATTTTTTTTATTGGTAGTTATGCCCCATTATTTGAGTTATAGATTAATGAAAATATTTTAGAAATTAATCATTTTTCTATCCATAAATACTAAAGCACACATGTAGAAATGATTTGAAAATACAATCATTAGTTTGTCATATCAATGGAGATTCTCCTTTGGCTTTGTTAGTTATATGAGTTTAAAATTTTTGCTTATCTTCTATTAAAGATTTTCCTTTATCTTTATTATCTTATGATGTTAGATTTTGATTTTATGTTTTAATAATGATTTATTTTCGTTATTTCTCTTTGCTTATCTTGAATCCTATTACACTGAGTCATGAAAAAATGCAACTCTTAAATTTGGAATGATTAAGCTAAGAAGACCGTTATTTGGACGTGGCAACGTTGCTTGAACATGTCTTGAAATTCATGAGACCATACCTTGCAAGAAAAATTTCTTTCTACACCAAGCATCCAAGCTCATAGTTTTTACAAATACAACAATCTTAGGCGAGCATATAAGTAGAGTTCCAAAGTGAGGAAAAAGTAAGCAAAGACAACAAACAACTCACACATTTTGTTACTCGATTTATCTTTATATCACCTTATCCTTAAAATTTAGTTTTTTCTTCTTAGTTTTCTTGTAATTTAGCTTCACCATTAATCAAGTTACTTTCTTTCAATTATATGTTGCATTTTTACATATGGGCAAACTATAGTAAAAAAGTTTAGAAATACTTATTTACACTGGACACCATATTTTTGCACGCTTGCAATTTTACTGTCATGGAGATATTCTTGACAAGGTTTGAGATGAAAGTATTAGGATTTTATTGTGACGTGCAGTTGAAGAAGGAAATATATATAATTGGTGTGAACTTGTCTAATAATAGACCTTTTTATCTGATTCAAGAAAACGGCATGGCCCCACAAGTTGCAATTCCACGTGATTGGAAGCAATATTGGAGCATATCAAACTCTTTCCACCCTCTCTCCCTTTTATCAATTCATGCTTCTCATCGTTCAAATTTTCAATATTAAGTATTAAATTTGTAACGAATTATATTATATTATATTGATTATAAATTGGTGAACAGATTTAATTTTTTTAATGAATATGAAATAAAAATGCAAACTAAATATTTTAGATCTGGAAAATATGGACGATCCAATGGAGCACCAAAACTAACTCTTTCCCACATCACTCAAAACAAGGTGTTGTTTAACTCTAGAGTACCGAGCGCTCATTACTCTGTTGAGCATGGAAGCTGAATCCACTGTGAAATTGGATCTTTGATTGTCTGGCAGGAGCAAGTGGAGCCATTGTACTTTTGTTTTTTTTTAAAGAAGAAAAATAGAAGTTAGATATCAAATCGTCGTTGCTTCTTTCTTTCTTTCTTTTCTTTTCTTTGTTTTTTTAATTGAAAGGAGGCCAAACTAGCCCCATGTAAGGGATTGGATTAACCACCCCCCTCCCCCGGGTACAAGGAGATCACTTTGGGGCTCGGGCAATGCACCAAGTGCATGTCACATTAATTTAAAATGCATGTTTGTATTTGTAAATTAGATACACGTTAAGTGCATTGAAGTACAGGTACTTAGCATCAACATAATTTTGCAAGCGAGGCGTATAAATCTTGTGCATGTTGATGGAACTTTACGCCAAAACATATTCTCTCAGTAATAAATGACACAGCACATTGGTCTCAAGAAAGATCTATCCATAAAAAGTGCTTGTTTCCTTATGACTATTATTTTAGGAGCCACACTCATATGGGAATTGGAATCTTTGAGTGTTCCTTCCACATTAATTGGCATCTTACGGCATAGAAATATGAAATACCCAGAACAAGCAACCACATGGAACTCATAAAAAATTACCATAATTGATGCGTGTTGGATTTAATAAACCTCGCGTTACATATCAATTTATGTATACATACAGTGAAGCACTGGTGGACGCAGAATCTAATTCTGGGAAGCATTTCATTACATCGGCAACCTCTCTTTTCTTGTCGATCTCTCAGTTTGACTAACCTACCAAAATGGCCATGGTTTTTTTTTTTTTTACAGGCTGAAAGTTTGAACTTGCTTCTATGGCATATTTTGAGCTGTTGTCCCTGCAGCTTCATTGTATTTTTTTTAATTTTATCCTTTCTTGGGACGATGAAGAGAGACACATATGTTCACTTTTTCAATGCAGCCTTGCAAGAATCAACAATCCTTAATTATTAGTATTACATTTGTATTCGTGCAGCACATGCATGTTTGGGTTATTTGTCTAAAAAAAATTAAAAAATAAAGATAAAAGAATACCTGCTGTAACCGGGAACGGGTTTATGACTCAAAACCATTCTCTACATTGATAGGATCCTTTAAAACACGGGGCTCAATCAAATTAATTTGTACAAGTGGTAATAATAACAATTTCTGTTGCATAGGTGGAGGGTGGGAGAAGGATGAGATCCCCATGTGAAGCCTGGTTTGGATTATGAGTAGGACCACTCAATCTAACCATCCGACCATCCACTTTGCCTGAAAAATCCAATCACCTTCCGTTGAAGTTCTTAGGCCGTGAGTTGTAAATAGGAACGATTATATATAGATGGACATGAGCTATTCAACCACCCAACAGAAGCTCACATGCTCTCCTGTTTCTCATTCCTCATAACCAAAATTCGACAATTTTTTTAATTACTTTTTACGAACAAATAATGCCTCCTCCAGCTCCTAATCATTCCCGAATTGGTAAATTTGCTCTCCTGTCTCCCTGGGTCCCAACTACTCTCCGATTCTACACGTGTCACCAATTAATTGGCGGTGATCATCACATGGCCTCATAATTCCGGCCCTTGGCCTTTACAGTTACCCACCGACTCACATTAACTCCGTGTTCCATACCCGTTCCATTGTCGACCGGTGCCCGGTCAAAACCCGAGCCTGATCGGTCAAGCCATTCCTGCATTGGGGTCCGAAATCCGACCAGTGTTCCTTCTCCACGTGGCTCTAACTCATTGGTAATTCAACTGGAATCCAAGGACGCTTTTTCGATTATATAACCACCCGCTCGACGGTTTTCGCTTCGTCATTCACAACTAACTGCGGGAAGAAAGACAATGGCGCGAACTGCTCAGCTTCCTCTTTCGGCACTTCGCGCCCTCACCGTACTGCTGCTGCTCCTTTCTCTGCGGCCAATAGCCGCTGGCCAAAACTACGCCGACGCCCTCCGAAAGAGCATTCTCTTTTTTGAAGGCCAACGCTCGGGCAAACTCCCTCCTGATCAACGCCTCAGATGGCGCCGTGACTCCGCATTGCACGACGGTGCTACCGCCGGAGTATGTGAAGCTTTATTTCATTCAATTTTCATTTCGACAGTGCCGTTCCTAACGTGCATTGTGTTTTCATTTTAGGTGGATTTAACCGGCGGTTACTACGACGCCGGCGATAACATAAAGTTCGGGTTTCCGATGGCTTTCACGACAACGATGCTGTCTTGGAGCATCATCGACTTCGGGAGGACAATGGGACCTGAACTGGGGAACGCCGTGAAGGCGGTGCGTTGGGCTACCGATTACCTGCTGAAGGCGACGGCGCGACCGGGCGTCGTTTTTGTGCAGGTAGGCGACCCGTACTCGGATCACAACTGTTGGGAGAGGCCCGAGGACATGGATACGTTGCGCACAGTGTACAAAATCGACGGGGCCCACCCAGGATCCGACGTGGCGGGCGAAACTGCAGCTGCGCTAGCGGCTGCGTCCATTGTTTCAGATCACGTGACCCCGCATACTCCCGATTGCTGCTCAATCGAGCCGTTGGGTGCGTCGCTCTCACACTTTTTCATTTCTATCTTGCCTTTTTAACCTTTTGGTGAAAGTTTCTGAATATATTAAAAAAGAAGCAAGTTATAAAATGTGGATTGAATTTCCCAAAACACGAAAAAGAAACTTTCACTGGTGACATGAAATGGCTTTTGACTATTTGCACTGAAAAAATAAAACAAATCACTTTACTGGGAATTGAATTCTCTTTTCTGTTGTTTGTCAGTTGTTATAATCAAATGATATTTTTTAAAAAATTTAATACTTTAAAATATAAAATATTTAATAAAAATAAAATTTGTTAGTGATATTTTTTTAATATTATTTTTTTTATATATATCTGTTTCTAATATTTTTTTATTAATAAAATATTAAATAAAAAATATTTTTAAATTTATATTTTTATCTTAAAAAAATAAAATTATAAAGTGTATTTAATGAATTTTATTAATATGTAAAATTTTATTTAAAAATATTTTATAATTTAAGACGAAGAGAGTAGCACCTAATATAAATTAATATAAAATTATAAATTATTGACACTCCAGTTAAAGATTACCCGCTTGCATATTATTTATTTACGAGCATAGGAAATTTAGGCATTAAAATAGATTATTGTACTTTCTTCAAAATGAACAAAATGTTTAGAGGGGAGCATTTATTTTTTTTTTCCCGTTAAAATATCGCGATAAAATGACAGTTGATGGGAAACGGCATGGCTATGCCATGTGCAGGTGTTCCGGTTCGCTGACAAGCACCGGGGGGCGTACAGTAATAGCCTGCGCCGAGCTGTGTGCCCATTTTACTGCGACGTCAATGGTTACCAGGTGAGTCATGCTACAATTCCTAGCCGCTAGATTAGATCACCATAAACAGAGAACGAAGTTGACTTTACACTCACATCGTCGACGCGGATGTTGATAGGACGAGTTGCTTTGGGCAGCAGCGTGGTTGCACAAGGCTTCCCGTAGGCGTCAGTACAGGGAATACATTGTGAAAACGAGGTGGTGTTGAGAGCAGGAGACACCATTAATGAATTTGGTTGGGATAACAAGCATGCTGGGATTAACGTCCTCGTCTCCAAGGTAACAAGCGCGCTTCTATTAATTTGTTACACTATATATGATGCAATCCAATTTTGTTTTTAATAATATTTCGGTAACTATGTACTAATTTTAATTTGTATGAGTAATATGTGCGCTCTTATCAACATGCTCTTGTCTTTTATGTGTTGTTTTTAGTACCTTTTCTTGCGTTGTGTCCTGTTTGGCATGTGGAACAACAATCAATCAAGCTGGAAGAATATATTTTTGATGAAAAGTTCTGCGCATCACGTGGTGTGGAATGTGATTCACTTTCTATCATATTTTTTTGTGGCAACTCACAATTCAATTGGACCCTATCCTTTTAAACTTTATATAGACGTATATATAGAATACAGTTATGAAATTTATGAACTTGGATGCATGCATATAACATTATCCATATTTATAATTATATTTTTTAGAAAATGAAAAGATGATACAGAACTTGATTTCTGGCATACTCTTATTGGCGGGCCAGCCAGGGAATGTATGCTATAGCGAATCAATAATAATGTGTAATATAGTGCAACTAGATAAGGAATGCATATTTGATTTTTAGAAGCATAATGTATTGCTGATCTGTGTCTACATATATATATATATATATTTTTTTTTATGAAAAGTCAAGATGAGGAATGAGATAAAGGGGGTTGTTGTGAGAAAATGCTGATGATGGCACATGATGTTCATTGGTTTTTTGGGTTCCATGTCGGGCCACCATCTTATGTAGTGAATCCAATCTGGACATTCTCTAATAATGGGATCAAACTCTCAAAGACAAAACTGCCCCTGATATTCCAATCATAATTTGGACAATACTGGGCACATTTATCGTTTAAGTTAATCATTAGAATTAGAATTATTGGGGTATGTTTTGAAGGCAATGTCCTGCCCCTTAAATCAGAACAGGATTGGGTCCTAAAGTCATCGCCTGGCCATCAAAATAGTGAACATCTGCAAAAGTCTTCGCCTTATTTCTCGATAGCCATTCCTTTGGGATCTGGCAAGAACGTGGGTCCCGTTGCCATCAATTGCTGCTTCATGCATGTGCCTAAAGGCTGGATCTATGGCTCTTCCCATACTCTCAGCCATAATTTTCTGCACAGGCACTTTCCTCAAAAGCGATTGAGACTTTACTGTCTTCTTTTGCTATGGCTATGTGTATTTTTGAAGAATGAGAATGATTGCAGAAGAAATCAAGGAAGATAATGTGAAAATGATTATTAACACATTATCCATGAGAAAAGGGAAAACTTAATAAATGTTATCTCAACTGACTGCAATCTGCATGCGTACAAGTTTATTGGGTTTTGGATTTAGTTTCGTTTGTGTCCGATCTCTTTCAGAGAAATGAAAATGGCCGAATTTCAAATGGTTCCGCTGTATGATTTTTCTTCCTTATTTTTTAATTACCGCAGGAGGTGTTGATGGGAAGAGCAGAGTATTTTGAGTCGTTCAAGCGAAACGCAGATGGATTTATCTGTTCTATATTGCCAGGGATTTCTCACCCTCAAGTTCAATATTCTCCTGGTATATATGCTTTTCCTCATCCCATTTTTTATTGGCTCGCATGATTGATCGAACTACAGATCTCATATAAATGATATAAACTTTAAGCACTGGATCGCATTTTATTTTACTGTGACAATATGAAAAACTGATCTCTGCTAAACTCTCATCCGAACTAAAAAAGCCCATTGCATACAATAAAGAAGTCTAAAAAATCTGTAGTTTGATAAAATATCATGAGTGTGAGGGGTGAAAGTATGATGGCCTCTTACCACAGCCATTAATCATGCTTTACTTTATAAAGAAAACCAAAAAAAAAAAAAAAAGCCTTTGATTGTGTGATTCTGTGTTTACACACATCGGAAAATGCCACTTTAATTATTGCAGCGGGGAAGGCGCGAACTATAGTTTTTGCCAACCAAAAGTAAATAAAACTAATGCATGTTGTGGGTTCATTTCTGGAAATAGGCGGGCTCATATTCAAGGCTGGAGGGAGTAACATGCAGCATGTGACGTCACTGTCTTTCCTGCTTTTAGCCTATTCCAATTACCTCAGTCACGCCAATAAGGTCGTGCCATGCGGCGAGACCACTGCCACTCCTGCCTTACTCAAACGCCTCGCCAAACGCCAGGTAATTTCTCTTTTGTATTGTAAAGTGAGAGATTTCTTGGATATTTGCTTAGCCAATGTTCAATTGTCGTGAGTTTCCCTTCTTTTTTTGTTTATATGTTCCAACACATTGAATTATAAGAAAATATCTCACAAAATAAGAGATTTTTTTATATAAAAATGTCTTTTTGAGAAGTAATTTTACACTAGTTTCAAAATTCTGTTGATTTTTTTTTTTTTAGAAATCTAGCATAGTCCTCTCAGCAATGGGTCCCAACTTGACATCAATGATAAACCCTTCATTTATTCCTTTTCTTAAATTTCAACATCAGACAAAGTTAACGGCTAGAATTTGTCTTTCCTGAGTCTTTAGTAACACAGTGACTGTAGGATGGCCCACGAACCGGGCCACCTCATCACGTGACTAGTGACTGCTGATTGAGGGACAATGCGGTCATTTTACTCGAACCATGGGATAAAGAATAATGATCTTCTGACGTGTCACATGGCTTAGGTGGACTATATTCTCGGAGACAATCCACTGGGGATGTCGTACATGGTCGGATACGGAGCTCGCTACCCTCAAAGGATCCACCACCGTGCGAGCTCGCTTCCTTCAGTGGCAGCTCACCCAGCCCATATCGGTTGCAAGGCTGGATCTCGATATTTCCTGAGCCCAAATCCCAATCTCAACATATTGGTAGGAGCAGTGGTGGGTGGGCCCAATAATAATACGGACGCATTCCCTGATTCTAGGCCATTCTTTCAGGAGTCCGAGCCCACCACGTACATCAACGCTCCTCTGGTGGCCTTCTAGGCTTCTTTGCCGCCCACCCTTGATGGTTTAAAAATGTAAATTGGGTATTTCCAGTGGTTGGCAAAATGGTCGCCCTGTAGGCTCAGAAAGGGATGAGGGAAAGCAAGAGAGAGGTCATGATGGGGTGGTAATGTTATGGTTAATGGTGGAAGATGCGTGGTCATGTATCGCAGATTATGAATACTTAAAAGGGATTTGCACGCGAAAGTGTGGCCCGTAACTTTCTTCTTTTCTTTCTAGTCTAGCTGACTAGCTCCTTTAAGTCACGCAAGGTTGTGTAATTAGCGGTTCGACGTGAATGGCAGTGTCAAGGAGTTAAGCATTTTCCGCCTTTCCACTGAAACAGAAGCTTAATTTAAACTAAATTTTAACAGTTTAAATTTAATATTTTTAATTTTATTTTTAAAATAAAAAATATATAAAAATTGTAAAAAATTTAAATAATTAAGCTTATTAATCTGAAAGTTCAAATTTAATATGATTTGTTCAAATTTTATGTTAAAACTTTTTAATAAATTTAATGTTCTATTCAAAATATATCTGCATTGTTCAAAATGTATTTAAAAAGTTAATTTAAATTTTTATATTAAATTTGAATCATTTATATTAAAGTTCAGATTGATAAGTATATTTATTAAAAAAATTTACAATAAAATTAAAAATACTAAATTTAAATTGTTTAAATTTATTTCTATTTCAATGGAGAGGCAGAGGAGGCTTCTTTCACGAGAAGTAAAAGAAAAAAAAAAGAGGCTTTGGATTAGTGGAGGTCTTCTTTGGAGTTCTAAGAATTTAAGATCCTGATTTATCATGCATGCAACTTTTATTTTCTTTTAAAAAAATTGAAACTCTGTTCATCAACTAAAAAATATATTACAAACCATTAATAAAGGCAAGAAAAAACATAGAAATACAACCTATCACACACTTAAACCAAAAAAGCAAACACAACGAGGAAGTAAAACCAAAAGGCAAACAGAACAGGGAAAAAATAACAATCCAACAGATATCCGTCTGACAAGTCGCATTCATCGTGGCGCTACCGGCAAAGATCAACTCAGCAAGGAAGATGAAGGTGAAAACACGAAACCGCCGACCTTTCGGCAGTCACCGCCAAGAAATCAGCAGCCTTATTGCTTACAGAATCAGCCTATATCGGATCAAACCTGCGCACTCCAATCACGAGCCAACACGTTGCTGTTTTTCATAACATTATACAGCTCAGCACAATCAATTTCAAGACAAACCTTCTTACCACAAACCCTTGGCAAACTCAATGACACAGCCTCCACCATAAAATCAGATGAAGCCTCCACATGCTCACTGTACCCAAACAGAAATTCTCCATTCTCATTACTCCAAGCCAAGCCGTTCTTCTCTGAGTTTAATCTTCAACTCATTTACACCAGGAGGACGCCAGCCCTTCTACCAGCAGCCTTAGACACCTGTGCAAGTTCAGATTCATGAACTACAGAATCAGCTGGATCAATATCTTGCCCCCTTAAAAAACAAACCGACACCTTGTTTTCTAAATATATCAGCATATCGCAGCCATTGTCACACTCATATCATTACCACGCCACCCCTTCTTCCCCTACCAACTAGCACACCACAACTCAATCCTCCTAATCTTTTTTATTCACAAACTCAGTCAAGCCACAACCAAACCAGACAGCTCTTACCCATGGGCAAAACAATAGCAAGTGCTCAGTAGTTTCCTCCTCACTACCACCGATAGGCCATAAAGGATCCGCAGTGCACTTCTTTCTCCGCAACCTTCCCTTGTAGCTGCCGCCCTTGCTGCTGTCCACAAATAGTGAAATCTCACTCCCATACTTCTTTAGGCGTCTGCACAGATGAACCAGGATCCTTCATTTTTACCTTCCTCAGACTCATCGCAATCATGCATGTGACTGAAATTAAAACCCGCCAACTCTAGCTAAACCCATGAATCAGAAATTGGTGCCGGGAAACGACAATGAAGGACCTGCTACTTGCAGATCTTACGTTTTGAAAATGACATTAAAAGAGAAAAATCCTTTTGGACACTACGAATTACGCCAAACAGATGAAATAGTGGAAGGTCGGTATGATTTCATAAATGTCTCTCGATAATACCTAGTCTACCACTCCATCATATTCCGCTACTTACAAGTTAACTTTCGCCATTTAAAAGTCATGTTTTGTGTGTGACGTGTTAAAAGGTCGAAGGCGAGCTATAAAAAGTTGCTCGACGATGGCCTTTGAGCCTCAACGCGTGATTAGAAAAGGATGCGAATTCTGGGGAGAAGCCGCGGAGAGAGAGGGGCGTTTATAATTTTATTCGAGGGATAAGCTCGTCTTTTCATTATTCATTAATTGGTCCTTTGATGCAATCAGTCTTCAGGTCCTTATTCGTTATTCCCTCGAACTTCTCCCGACATGCTAACACGTTTTAGATGCCTTCTTACATAATTCAATGCGTCGTGAAGTGAATGCAACGGATATGCAGAAAGATCCGTGTTGACCCCTTAAATATTATGAATATGATCGAAGGCGTGTTATTATAAATTTTAATGAATATAACATTCACTGTCATTTGTTCTCTCTCCGTCCCGATACGAGTCGTTTTTTGTTTTTTGTTTTTGTTTTTGTTTTGTTGGTGTCTCCAATTCGAAAAGCTTGCCTCTAGATGGACTGCCTCGAACATAAAAATAAGAATTTTAAAAGTAAAACCAAACACGCACTGGAAACCTTACCAGTATTATTGGCGTACTTTGGTCCCCAGCCTTACACGTAAATAGAAATATTTTGTAAAGCACTGCAAAGACACCCAAAATAAAAAAATCAACAATGTGGTGGGGGAGGAATAGGATGAAAGAGCGAAGACTTTGAAGTGCACTGATTAGGGTGTTCAGTCTATACTCGTCCTGATTGACCCGATATCGTCCCGATTATATCGGGACGAGTCTTATTCCGACCCGAAAATAATCAGGACGGAACTTTACGGGACAAGATAGGAAAGGAGTTCAGGACAAGACGGGACATAGGATTACCATTGAGATGTCCCGTTCCGTCCCGAATATTATATATATTATTTTTTATTTTAAATATATTAATTATATTAATATAATTTATACTTATATTAATTATATCAATTATAATTTTAATACTTGCAATTCTTATTTAAAATTAAAGTTTTTTTATATTGATAATTTTAATGGCATGGATTAAACATGTCGATATCTTTCTTTATAATATATTAATTATATTAATATAATTTATTTTTATATCTATTTATTTAATAACTTTTATTTATAACATATTGCTTGCTTATTTTTAGAAGAGTAATTAGCTTAGTATATCTTCACTAAAGTAGAAGAATAATGATTTGATGTTGTGTTTGACTTGCCTGTTGTTGCTAATCTTATAGCATAAAGATCACTTATATTTGTTATTATAATATGTAGTTGTGATTAATATAATTCAATAATTAATTTTAAATTATTGTTATTTATGTGCTTGTATTGTTTTGATTTTAAACTTAATAAATTATATGATTTAAAATTTTAATAAACGTTATTATTCAGATCTTTTTTCGATATTATTCCATTTATCGGGACAGCGGGACGTCCCGATCTTGTCCCGATCTCATCCCGACTTTTAACGGGACAGGACGACTTTCGGGATGGGACGGGACACGAAACCAAAATTCAGTCTCGATTTTTTTTTCGGGATGGGACATCGAACAGGGGTGTCCCTATCCCGTCCCGTCCCATGAACACCCCTAACACTGATCCATTCACTATGTCACCATCCTTTCTTCAATCATTCATTTTTTCTGTTTTTTGTCATAAATGCATTGCCCATTTGCGCTCGGCAGTTCACACACCATATCCTGCCTTGTTAAAGTTCACCCAAAAAATCTTCGGCCCCCATACGCGTGCCGCTATTACATCTTCTTGCCCAAATTTATTCCATATCTTAAAACTAGGTTTTATTATTTTATTTCTCATTTCTTTCTTCTTTATTGGATTTTATGCAAACCTTAACCTACTCATTTTTTTGATGGATAGATAGGTGACTTCAACGATATGAGAAAAGAAAACTTAGTGACAGCGTTCTTGAATTTCCAAAGATGCATGTTAGTAAGATATGTGCGTTATCTTGATAAAACTGGATGCTTCATTCAGAGGAAGAGGTTCGGGATAATATTTTATTTTATGTGGAGGCGGATGGGCTCCTTTTGAATTGTTGCATCCTTACTTGGCTTTGACTCCGCCCTTCACTAGTTGGAAGCTGGAACCGTTCCTCACGCTGCTGCAGCTTCCTCATGAGCCATGCCCGCATATAAAGGGGCCACGCCTACCCCAGCAGCAGCACCAGCAGCAGCATTCTCAGCCTCAACCCCACCATCAGCAATCAGCAATCAGCAATCAGCAATCAGGATGTATCCCCAAAACCCAAATGAGTACTACGGCAAGCCCCACGACTCCCAGGCCCCCACCGGCTTCCCCGTCTCCGCCCCCTCCAACTCCTACTACTCCTCCGACTCCTACTCCTCCAATTCCCACTACCACCCCTCCGCCCTCCCTTCCTACCCTCTCCAGTCCAAGCCCCGCGTCGACTGGTCCACCGGCCTCTGCGACTGCACCTCCGACGTCAGAAACTGTAATCCTCTTCCCCCCCCCCCCGGCCCCTCCCTTCCCCTGCGTCCGATTTAATTAATAACACGCGTCTGCTCATGTGTTCCCGCAGGTTGCATCACGTGCTGGTGTCCTTGCATCACGTTCGGTCAGATAGCGGAGATCCTGGACAAAGGGTCGACGTGTAAGTAGTGAATGAATATTGTTTTTTTTTTTTTTTTTTGTGAAATTGATTGATGAAATTGAGACTGAGAGGATGAATGAATGGAATGAGCAGCGTGCGGGGCGAGCGGGGCGCTGTATACGCTGGTGGCGTGCGTCACGGGGTGCGCTTGCTTGTACTCTTGCTTCTACAGGGCCAAGATGAGGCAGCAGTTCTTGCTCAAGGACAAGCCTTGCTGCGACTGCCTCCTTCACTGCTGCTGCGAGCCCTGTGCCCTCTGTCAGGAGTATCGTGAGCTTCAAAATCGTGGATTCGACATGCTCATCGGTACTTCCCCTTCTTCTTTGATCCCTCTTGAATTGACCGCCTCAATGTATGATTTTCCATTGAAATGAACTTCCACCATGCCAGGTTGTCTTATTTGTGTTGTCGCGTAGACTTAATCAAGGTCATGGCTGCTTTTGTTTGTTGCAACGGTGAATTGATTGAGACTGGAATGGGAATATCTTCATTTTAATGATAGGTTTTTTCGTGAACAGGATGGCATGGCAACGTGGAGCAACGCAACAGAGAATTGGCCATGACCACCGCCACAGCTCCGGCAGTAGAGCAGGGCATGAGCCGCTGAGTTCTTCATTCCTTATTCAACGCCATTTCTATGCTTTGCTTTGTATAATTCCTCCTTCCACTTTGCCTGTAACCAGATCCACATCCCCTCTCGCTGGTCTTGACCTGTTGTTGTAATTAAGTAGTTTCAACCAAGTCACATTATTTACATCATTTATAAATAATATTATTTCTAAATTTTACTATATATCGGTCTTCATGTTCTCAAGTTTTAGCTTGTTCAAAAATTACTAGTTCTTGCTTGGTCCCAAATGGTGGTCAACGCCTGACGGCCAACCCTATCTCATCAAGTCGTTGGTCTTCTCCAAAGTCTACGATGACAGCTTTTTTAACGCCACCACTGCGAAATGTCCCGGTCAGTCACCGGATCAACTACGTCTCATCCCTCCCCCCCTGCATATATCAACTCTTTCCATTTAATTTAATATTATTTGTTTGTTGAACAAAAAAGTTTAATTTATTGCTAATTATAAATCACTGCATTTATACCTGGGAATTTTATCATATAAAAAGTACAAATAAGAACATTTTGATTAAAATAAACTTTATTTTATATCATATTTCATTGAAATTGATGTCAGCAAGTTATCTTAATTTTAGTTTAGCCAATGTAAATATAAATTTTTTTAAGAAAAATATCATGTAATTGTTTGGCAAAAAAATATAATTTATTCTTGTTGTCTTTTGCAAAGGAACGGGAAGCCCAGACCCCAATTAAAACTGAACTAGGCCCGGTTTCCCAAAAATGAAGTCCAATGGAAGCCTAACTCTGGCCAATCTTCCATCGGATGCAAAGCTAAGGGCTGAGGAAAAAGAGGCCGACAGCCAACAACATGTGACGTGACCTTAAATCGTTAAGCTGGATTTCGACCATAAGGCAAATTTCTTTTTTAAAAAATACATATTATGTGAGACGTGTTATGAAATTATCCAACAAGAAAATAAGATATATGTTGAAGAAATGGAGACAAGAGAGTGAAAGAATATCTTGTGAATTTTTATTCTTTCAATACAAATAACATATACTGTTTATAAGTATGAGCTTACATTAATAATTACATAAATGATAATGACAAATAAAAGATAATTAACACTTATGATGGTAGAAATTTCATTGAAGAAGATGGCCATCCACACTTTTAATATTCATAACAAGAGGAAAAAACAATTATACCATTTTTTGAAGCCAAAAATAATTCAAATAATTACACCGATCAATTCATTTCTGAACATTGTTCATCAAAACTTAAATCACATCTCAACGGATTATTGGGAGAAAATCACGTGAAAAAGAGGAGGGGGAAAATGAGATGCACAAAAGCCGAGCATGGCTAGAAATAGAATCCACCCTCCTCCTTTTCTCCTGAACAAAACTTTCCAACACAGTCAAGGATCTGCTGGCCAAAACGTATAACCACAAAAGATGAGACCATTCAGAGAAACAACCAAAGCCGAGCCATAAGTGTTGATAATTCTGTCCTTATGACAGCAAACATCAACAAAAACAGTTTTGCACCTATTCCTTTAGCAAGAGCTTAGTCCTAATATTATAATTGCAAGGATGGGATTAAAACATCAGAAAATATATATTAAAAATTTAAAATTAAAATCACACCAAAGTCACCACAGTAAATCAAAATACATCCATGCACGTTGGAATACTTCAAGACTGGTAGCCCCTCATCCTTTTTTTCTTCTTTTGAATGAATCTTGATTTTTATCTTGACATAGGAATTAAAGAATTACCTAACAATGATGTCTCATCTTTGAACTATAACAACAGTGGATATATAGGCTAGATTCATAGTAATATGCTTTTTAAGTACAGCATTAAGTTTGATAACATTATCAATGAAACCTGTGAACTGCATATTTATATTTTGGTTAGATATCAACATATAAATCTAGCCCTGAATTCAACTTGATGGAGATAATTAGATGCCAAATCAAGAGATGCAGACTATAAAATGAGCTTTCGAACCATTTCAAGTCCTTCAGAAATGATACACAAAACCAGAACTGCTAACCCTGCAGAATCTGATATTTTTAACCAAAGTATGTTAAAAACACAAGGAAATCGCAAACTAGACTCTAGATGAGGAACCACCTATACACAAAATAATTGTCGGGTTCAGTAATCAACTGAACAATACAATGTCATGTTTGAGTAACAAGTGGATAAGCGTTAAAAACAGACTAGAGACAGAAAAGTCATCATCCCAAAGCTATTGAGACTTTTGGGCATTACTGGTATTACACAATTTAGATAGACGACGAGTTGGTGGTTTAGATTTGTCAGGTTTTTTCTTGAGACCAAAAATCTCTTGCACCAAAGGAACGTGTACTAGGACTAGTTTCCATGCCAGCAACCAGCCTACAACAATCCAATTTATGGAAGGAGTAGTCAATTTAAAATTTGAAATACGGAATAGAAGCAAATATAGTAGAAAAGAAATCAGATAGAGAAAATTACCCAAAGAAATTAAGAAGAGGACAAATCCGATGGCAAGGAGAGGGCGGAGAAGGATGACAACAGTGAAATCCCAATAAGAAAGGGAATCTGCGGCGAAAGTTGACTCCATAGCAACCTCAACAATCGACTGTGGAGAGATTCAATTCATATTAAGGCCATTAATCTACATGTTAGCTTATTTGTGGGGTGATCGTGAGGGTGATCTTCCTTAATAAAAAAAAACTAGGACAACCAATGGCATAAATGAATAAATTCAGTTTGTTGGGCGATGGAAGAGGATCGTCACACAACATGACATGCCTACAAGGTTCGTACCGAAGCATAAGAAAGCAGAAATAGATCATACCCCTTAAGCCTTTACCTCCGTGACCGACTGGCGACGAGAAAACTCCACCGACGATGTGTAACATAAACCAAAAGAAGCGATGACTCGACGAGTTCCTTCTTTGTAGCCACAGCACCGATGAGAAATCTGGCAGTCTGGTAGATTAGGAAGAGACGAAGCGTCAGACTGAGAGATCAAGGAGGGCTCAAGAGATCTATTTAAGATCGTGAAGATGGGAAGTGACCGACTTACAGCAGGGACGACGAGCCCCCCGTACGACTGAAGATGGGGATTGGTCTAGATTTCAGCCCCACCCCCCTAAAAACGCACAGCATCATAGGATTTGTGTGTTTTTTTTTTTTTTTTTAAGGAAAACTAATACTTTATCTTTATCCTACAAGATGCATTATTATTCATGTTATCTAGGCTAGTCCTTATATTCTTGTTCTTATTAAAACTAAATCCGTGTTTGCCAAATAGGAAAAAAATTTTATCTTAAAAAATCAATTCAAATACACACCTGCATCCAAACACACGCACACAAGCACATGTTTGAATAAGGATGAACGGGAGATATTATTTCAGCAAGAATGATCTTCATGGGAGATTGAGAGACCATGAATTGATGATTGATGAATATGGACAAGTATGGATAGGATAGTGTGAGTAGATAGTTTTTTTATTATTATTAAAAAAACGAATGTATCACAACTGGGAAATGTTAACAGGTTGTTGGAAATCGAAAGTTCCAAAATCATTAAAACAGTTGCTCCACCTAGGAAGCTTAGATATAGGTAAAATTTCAACTAAAACATTCTTGAAGAGATGCCGCAGTTTTCAAATATCAATATATCATTGATGAGTGATCAGCCTGCTTTTGCCAAGAGTAGATAGTTTATTCATAATTTTGCGAGGATAAATAAATGAGATCAAAGGAACATTTAGATAGGCCATTAATCTATACTCCGTTCATTTTAAAGTATAAACATTTCTTCTTAATTGATTTTCCTTCAAAATATAAACAACTTAATATATGTAAAAGATTTTTTTTTTTCATTTCACCCCTTATATTTATTAACCTAAATTTTTATGTAAATGTATATCCCATTAATCATAAAGTACATTGATAATTGAAAATAAAAATAAAAAATAATATATATTTTTATAAAAATAACGACTTTATTAGTATGAGAATTTTTTTAAAAAACCATTTATACTTTAGATCGGAGAGAGAATCTGTTTATTAACAGAATTTTGCAAGAGTTGACTTTTTATGAAACACAATAACACTGTGCAATCTAACTTTCAACTACGGTGAAGTGTAGCGCTGTTTTGTTTTCACTTTACAAGGATAAAGAGTGAGAAAACAAGTACAAATGTCAGCAGTGGCATGGCCACATATAGTTAAAGGGGATACAATCAACCTTGCAATTTGGAAAGAAAAAAAAAAGTCGCAATATTATCTTGCCTAGAGATCAAGACCATTTTTTTGGAAAATTTGTAATGCTTTAATTTGAGCTCATTTTAAATCACAGTATCAAGAATTATAATATAATCATTATAAAAGAATATACTTATTTACTTCATTTCTTATAAATTTCTTGTGGATTATTATATATATTTGTATATTTTTTTATGGATAAATAATAAGGTTAAAATACAAAAATGTTTTAAATTTTTTCAAGAGGGACGTCTAATATTTTAAATTTTTTTAAATAATGCCATCTCAAAACTTTAAAAAAGAATAAAATTTCACCCACAATTAACTTTAAATAATGTTGAATCTTAAATGTGATTTTGATTGGGGAAAAACTGAAATAATATGCGGATTGGACTCCCCTTAACCTCTTCTCCCCTCCGCCCTAAGAAAACAAAAAAACTACATAGCATACCAAACGCACTATGGCATGGATTCCATTTTTTATTCCTGTTCCTTCTTATTGATTTCAAGGAACCAATCAGGACCATAGAGGGTGAGAGAGAGAGAGAGTAGGGTGAGAGTAGTCCAGTCAACATGCCACTTCAATTTTTATAGGGAATTACACTGCAGGCATCAAAAGAGTTAAAAATTATATTGTAGGCCCAATATATTATGTTATTGCACTACAGATTCAGGGGTCTTTATTACAATTTTTCTTAAGAGCGAAAGTACAATTTTGCCTTTATGTTATTTGAAAACTCAGATCATGCATAATATAATGTCTATGGGTGTCTAATTAATCGATAAATTTAATAAAATATATAAGTGACACACACAATATATAACACAATGTTCATAAATGTATAACACAATACTCATACATTCTCAATTAAAAGTCAATGCATGGACACTCATAGACATTATTTTGAGAATTCATAAACATTATATTTTGCATCCATGCACATCGTATTGTATATGCAAATAAATATAGTCAATATTGTGTTTTGTATCCATGAATATCGTATTATATATTTATGGATATCGTGTTGTATATAATTTAAGTTTTTAAATCATATAATAGCAAAATTGTACTTTCACTCTCAAGAAAATTTAAAATAAAGCCCTTTGAACTTGTAGTACAATATTAAAATGTATTGTGCCCAAAATAATATTTTATATTGTTTTAAGGCCTGCTATGCGATTCCTTTTTTTTTTTCAGTCAATAGGTGAAATTGCATTTTTTTAATTCTAAGATAATATTATTACAAAAACAAAAATTAAAAGCTATACTTGTAAAAAAGTTTCACAATATTTTTGTATTTTAATTCTAAATAATATCATACTTTTTTTAGGTGGTGCTCTCACTTTTTTTTTTATAGATTTTGAATACATGGTAAAAATATTTTTGAAGAAAAAATTACAGCTTATGAGCAATTAGTTTCATTAAAACCTTGTGAATCTAATCTCCAATAATAATTTGCAACCCTACTGACAACCACCATCTTTCAGCTATTATCAGAAACATCAAGAATCTCACCATATAAGACTAGGAAATTATGTTTGATCATATTTATAGAAAAGTAAATAGAGGCATTAATTTACTAGCCCATAAGTCTTTAAATGAATATTTTAATATTATTTATTTGACATAATATCAAAATGATAATGTAATGGTTTTTAATGAAGAAAATGCTTTTAATAACATTGACAGTAAGCTCCATTGCACAATAATTACAAAACATAAAATCGAGCAGAAGACAATTATAAAGCATGTAATTATTTTTAAAAAAATTATTAAATGATTGTTTTTGAATTATTCATTTTTTATCCACCACCATATGCCGGTCCCCTCTTTTCTTTTTCTTTTTCTAAGAAAAAGTATGTTAAGGATATTGTTCCCAAGTCTATTCTAGAAAATACTCATATTAAAATAATATGAGTAATATATTTTTATAATATGAGATTAGAATATAAGGATTTCAAATTTAAAAGTTAGACAATATTATTAGGAATAATGTTAAAATAAATAATGCATGAAAAAATCGTTTGTCATGATTTAATTTAAATAAAGTATCTAAATAGCTTAGACGTACAAGTTTAAAAATCTAAAATTTTCCATTTTCAATTGAAATACCCTAAATGCCGTGAATTCTGACACAAGCGTCCAAACTATGGATTTTTTCAGGAAAAATGACAATGAGGTTTTAAAAACATGAGTTAATAATAGTTAGGTTCTTTACAAAATTTATCACAAAATAAATTATAAATATTAATTTAAATAATTATAAATAATTTTTTTATAATTTAAGAGTTATATTTAATATTTAAATATTTATTTACAATTGAAACTCTTAAATATGTAATAATTTGGATCGATATTTTTAATATTTTTAAAAAATTGTTAAAAACTTAACTGTCATTAATTATTCTTTTAAGATCTAGCTATCATTCTCCGTTTTTTATTCCTGCTTTGGCCAACCTATCCACTTATTAATGCTAGCTAACTAGTATCCCTTCCTACTCAAATACTTGATATGTTGTGCCAAATGGATGTTATTACAACCATTTATATAACTTTTTAAATATATAAATTTATATAAAAATTCTTAAAAAAATCAAATTGTCAGAAGCATGTAAAAATTCTTGAGAAAAATATGCAATTCTTTTACATAAATCTTTGTATGGATTAAAACAATATGAAAAAATGTGGTGTAACTGTCTCAATAAATATTTGTGTCGAATAAAGGTTATAAAAATGATACAATCTCTCCATGTGTTTTTATAAAGAGAAATGGATTGAAGTTTGTTATAATTATTGTTTATGTAGATGATTTGAATATAATTGAAACTCTTAAAGAACTCTCAAAGGCAATTGATTGCTTAAAGAAAAAATTTAAAATAAAAGATCTTGGAGGAATAAAATTTTATCTCAATTTAAAAATCGAACACTAAGCAAATTAATTTTTTCTTCATCAATTAACTTACAATGAAAAAATATTGAAGCTATTTTGAATGAAAAAAGCATATCCATTAACTATTTTGATGTTTGTGAGATTTCTTGATTGAAAAAAAATCATTTTTGCCTTTAAGAGAAAGACGAAGAACTTCTTAATCCTAAAATACCATATCTTAGTTATATAAATGCAACAATGTATCTTGCTGGTTCTATAGTAGGGCATTTGAAGGCTCTCTAGCCTTTATCTAGAAGTTTTTCAATGCTGTCTCTATGCTCCCTCCTAATAAACTAAATGATGATAAACTTTGTATGTGCTACTTTGCTCACAGCCTTCATGATCATGCTAGTGAGTGGCTTTTACCTAAAGGATCTCTCACTACATGGGAACATGTATATGATACATTTATGTCCAAATTCTACTCATCACATCATATTGAATAATTGTGCGACATGATTTAGGGGAGCCTTTGCATGGAGTTTGGGAAAGACATAACACATTATTAAAGCAATACCCACACAATGGTTTTGTCCCTTTGATGATCACCGATAACTTTTATAAGGGGTTAATAATGGTCTATCAAAACCTAATAGACATAGCTACTGATGGCTATGGAGAAGAAACAATAGCAGATCAGATGAAGAATATTTATGAACATCTGGCTAGGAACTCAAGGCATAAAGGTGATAGTGAGAGGAAAGTCCAGGCACATCAAATAGAATTTAGCTTTGTTGTCGCTACTCAAATGGACCTTAACAAGAGTATTCGCAAACTTAATTTCTAATGTTGTTCCTTCTAACTATTCTATTCTTGTTAATTCCATTGATGTATCTTGTGATTCCTTTTAGGGTAACTATGACAATCATGTTGTAGAAACTCACTTTATGAATGCCAACTAGAATCAGAGAATGAGTCAAGGAAGACCTTGCAACCCCTATGGGAACACATATAATATAGGTTGGAAGGACTAGACAAATGAAGATTCACCCCAAAACCATGCTCCATACCTCCGAACACCACACTCACACTCACACTCACAAAACCTCATAGCTCTCACGTATCAAAGCTCTCGCGAGGTAGAGTCTTTCAATTAATAAACTAGGTAAGTTTGACATTAAGAATTTTATTAAAAAAATCCCTTATTAGGACCAGTTTGGGTACCTATATAGATCAAGCAAAATTAGTTTATTAAAATATTTATCTCATTGGTTTATATATTTCTATACTAAAACATTTCTCTTAGGAATTGCTTCAAGTATTGAGCTATTTATTGATTCAGGAGCAACAAATTAAAAAAAAAAATCGTTGCTCGATCCTCAAGTTAATGACATAAAATAAAATAAACATAATGCAAAAGAGACCATGCAAATGACACTATATAGAGTCCACCTAAACCTGAATGGATTAGACTTGACACATATGGCTCTATTAATATTAACAACACAACAACATGCGAAGGCATTATTAGAATAATAAGAAAAATTGAATCAAAGGATTTTTCAAATACTCAAGATATTAATCTAATAACGGCAGAACTAATGGGAATCTTTAAAAGTCTTGACCTTTTTTGAAATGTGAAATTGCTCAAAATCAATGTTCATTCTGATTTGATGGAGATGTTGTCACTCTTTAATTGCTCCTACTTTGAAAGTCATACATTACCTGACACTATCAAAAAAAATTAAAGAATTTATTATAAGAAATTAAATAGATGTGCCCATCTTTCAGTCCATCATTTGTCATTTGATACCATTAATATCATGAATTTTTATGTTCCCCGCATGACTATAGTAACCTCATTATTTTAAATATAATTAAATCTTAATTTCTTTCCATAATTTTGCTGTGGTTTTGTATTAAATAAAAAAACATAACGTTAAGGACTTCAAATTTTGGAAATTCGTTTAAGACAGCAATAACGCGGCTGGGTAAGGTGTACGAGTCCATCGTGACCTTTGTTCCGCAATCTTCGTTGCGTTGTCTCTAAAAGTTTCAAATTCCCCCTTGAAAAACAGCACTCGTGCCAGCAAAATAATTAAATTAAAGGTTAAAGATCAATTTGATTCTAAACTATCTATAATTTCAAATTTATTTTTTTATAATATTTTTTCTTAATTTTTAAAAACAATACAATGTAATTCATATTTTTAATAAAAATTAATTTTAATCGTTAATTAACTCAAAAATAATAAAAAAATTAAAAAAATTCTTGATCTTTTTTCTATAATTTTTTTATCATTTTATAATCAACTAATGATTAAAATTAATTTTTAAAAGTCAAATTATTATTTAACCGTTAAATTAATTCATTTTGTGGAAACTTTCAATTTTAATGTCTCTAATTCTCGATTAATCACATAATTTGTAAAAATTCATTTCTTGTACGTGTGAATCAAAACCATAATTTCTTAAAAATATAATGACGAAATTAGCATGATTGGACTTTGAAGGAATGCTTTTCAACTCCAGTTGTTCCGTTTGCGCTCTCATAAGATTTCTGCACATACTTTGTTGCTGCCCATACACCATTTGTTATGGATAGTATGAAATATTAATATTTATTTATCTGACGAAGATGGCATAATCATTTTTAGTTTTTGGCATAATAATTAAAATAGACAACTCGTGGAAAGGATGGGCCACCATTTCCGGTATGCTTTTGATTTGATGGTTTTTTAACCATGTGATTATTGTACAAAATATTTAAACTTCACGGACATGTTCATATGGGTAATTTTTAATGTTTAAACTAAATATCTTTTCCAGTCTCCACGTGATGCGTGGGGTAGCAACTCGGAACCGTGGATAATAATTAAGTTTGTATATGGCTGTATTTGTTTTTTTTTTTTTCTTTCTAAACAGCGATAAAATGTTTTGAAAAATTGAAAAAAATAATAACAGAAAATACAGCACAATAATACCAAGAGAAAAACTGGGGGGAAAATTACATGCAGCCTGGGAGTAATCATGACTACCCTTCATGACTTTAAAAAAAAAAATGTGCTTCACTAAAAACAATTAGAAGGTTAAGATACAAAACTATCTTCAAAATTTTCATGCAGACAGACGTTATATTCTCATTTTTCATACAATTTTGCCCCAATATTTTAAATTTGATACAAGGACGTCCTTTAGTAACAGGTTTAGATTTTGATCCTGATGTGCACAGCTAGCAGCCAATGACATATTTTAAAAATTAAAAAATCCATGTCATCTCTTTCTCTTTTTCCCCATCCTTCAGCCCAAAACAGAACACAGCAAATCAAATAGAAATTCAGCCATCTTTTTTCAATGCAGGAGCGAACAAGGAGCAAATAGGGAGCATAAAAAAAAAAAAAAACAAATCAAGAACACAGTGACCCAGACCGACACCCTCAAATCCAATCTCCAAAACAAAACCCAGAACACAAAAAATTAATTATATCCCATAGAACACAAAAATCAAGCCAGGAATACAAATCAATTACTTTCTTAATTGGAGCAAGGAGCAAGAACGAAACCTGGAATGGCAGTCTTGTGCTTCTCCAAGAACGACAGCCGGAGAAAGTAATTATCTGTCAAGATTTTGAAAGTAACTTGCATAAGAGCTACACCATACCAAAAATGGGAATACCCGATGACCAAAAAATGAGCTAACTACAAAGGGAATTATCTGGCACAAAAAAAATGAGCAAGGAAGAAAATCAAGCGAATCAAGAACCTAGAGACAATTTCGAACCGGATCGTGTGTTTAACTGGTGACCTTTCCAATGGCGAGCTTGGCCTCGATCTCGTTCTATAGCTACCAAAGCAGCCTCTTTGCGTTAAGTTCTTCAATCTCCGAGTTCTTTGGTCTTCAGTTCTTCAATCTTCGACCTTCACTTCAGTCTTTGATCTTCGACCTTCGGATAGAGATGGGAATCAAGTAAGGTTAGGCCCATTAAAATTTAACCTAATTTTAATCTTTATTCAAAAATTTAAGACCAAGCCTTTAAATTCTCTTTCTAAAAAAAATCTAACATTTTAATTTAGATAAAACATTTTAAAATTTAACATAAAACAAATTAAAGTCTCACCTAAAATTTGACAAAAATTTAAAAGTTTAAATTTAAACTAAAGATTAAAATTTTTATTAATGTAAATCTAAATCCTCTTTATCATTATCTAAAAATAAAATAATAGATCCCTTAGATGTAAGTTTACTTTTCGAAGATAGAGGTAAAGATTCAATGTCAAGTATCTCTGTAACTTCTTTTTCATTATCTACACTAAATATTAACCAAATTATGTTATTATCAATTAAATGTATGTATGCATATATGCATGCATGCATGTACGCTAGAAGGCAAAATATAAAATTACCATAAAATGGTACAAAACCATTTAACCAATTGTGGGTGTAAATTAATGCTTGCACATTATTTAGAAGGAGATAAGAATAAAACTTTGTTAAAACACGAGAGCCCATGCTAAAAGTTAATTCATTAGTTACTATAGTGAACGGAATACTTAGAATATCACATGCCATCCTTGAAAGATTGAAAAATCATTATTGATTAGTCTTCCACCAATGCAATACATCTAATTCTGAAAACTCACGACCATTAAGGAAAACTTCTGCCAAATAATAATCTAATTTAGATTTCCTAATGAAAGAAACATCTCTACTTTTGAAATTCAGAAAATCCTACATTCGAAAAAATTTCAAAAGCATCAAACAAGCAATTATAAACCAACACCAATGAGATAAAGTGCATTACACAAGTGACAAGCAATTATAAACCAACAACAATGAAATAAAGTGCATTACACAAATGAAAACTCACACCATAAAGTTGAGTCTAAGACATGATTGGCTCCTTCTTCTTCTCTACCATCCTTCCAATTGTGCTTGGTTAATTTTGTATTGGAGTTGAACTTGAAGTAAGATTAATGGAAGATTCACTCATATCTTTATATTGATCAACGGTACACAACTTTTACTTAATATTTTTAACTTTCATGTAGTAATTCAAAGAATCAATTACTAAATAAGAATACTATAACATCTTGAGTTTTCAACTTAAAACTTTAAGTGTTTAATAAGGGCATATTAGTCAAAGTAATTGATTTATGAATGAATAATGTTTTCATATCATTAATAAGGTTTTTGGGCCTTTGGGTAGCTGTGGAAATGAGCTAAGATGGTAGTGGGTGGCCAAAATGTCATATGGCATTTCTTGTGCCATGTGCTGTGAGGCATACTCCTTAAGCTGCGGCGCATAGCTAGTTTTTGGGTTAAATTAGACATGAAACGTGTTTGATTTTAGAGAGAAAAAGAAAGAAATGAGAGAAGGTGATGAAGGAGGACCTCGGGTCTGTTAGGGCATGACTTTAGGGGCTCTTTGAAGGTAGTACAAGCTTGAATCATCATTAGGTAAGTTTCATTTTTCCTCTCCTTTCCTTTTATGCGAAATTTCTATAAATTCAGGTATGTTGGGGCTTTATTTTGTGTTTTCTTGGGTTTTGACAGAATTCATTGACTTAGTTAAGGTCTTGAGAAGTTAAATCAAGCTTTTAAACCTTGATATATGATCTTAATTGTGATTTGAGATTTTTTGTTAAGGTTTGGACAAACCTTAAGTAAAATTTGAGAATTTTGGAGCGATGTGGATAAAAGACTGGTGTTATAAGTGTGTTTGATGTTAAATGGAATTAACAGAGTATGTTGAAAGTGTTAATGGTGTTAAAATATGATTTTAGGTATAGTAGGTACTCAAAATTTAGTGATTAAGGGGTTTAATTATAGTAATAATTGATGATTATTGTTAAATTGTGTTGATGGTTTAATTATAGAAACTGTGCTGTCATTTTGACAGCAAATCTAGACAACTTTTGGCATGTCTCATTTCTCCGTTCAATGTCTGAATAAGATGATCTAGATGTTTGAGGAAAGCTTTTTTCACAGACTAGCTAATGACATGAGTTTTGCTTCTAAGTCAAGTCACACCAAGAAGTTGGACATCCAAACATATTTTCACAACTTTTCTCAACTTTCTCATCAAAAGGGTGTCCAAAATTCTATACAAGTTTCAAAACCCATTCCTAACAGTCAAATCATATTTATTGGATCTAGGATTAATTGTAAAATACACTACATGCACATATACAACACTATATCTCTTTTACACTCCTCAACCCTTTTAATACCAAAAACAAAAGGCGAAGATTTTAGCATTACATTTTATTAAAAATCATATATATTATGTTTAAAACAACTTTACTACACTTACACTAGTATTTTGACCCTATAAACATTTACAATTATCATAATCAACATCTCTGGGCCTAAAATACCTTTCAGACTTCATAAAAAACTATATAGTATAAGTGTAAAATAAAAATGCATCCTAATTGATAGTATTTAAATTATTACACAAAATAAATAAATTAAAAAGGCATTACAATAGAAATATTTAGATTGCTAGGCCTCTAAAGCCTTTTTCATTTTTACACCAGAGTTAGAGCTTGTAAAATGTTAAAATAGAGGAGTGAGTCTATTCACTTAGTAACTAACATAAAATAAAGGAGTGAGTCTATCCACTTAGTAACTAAAGTAAGCTACCTTATGTAGTTGTATATCAATTGAATAAACACATAAAATGGAGTTGATTTTCTCAAAATATACATACAAACACATGTAACAAAAATTGTCATTTCTCAATTTAACTCATTCTCATAATTCTCATCTTATTCTCATCTCGATCACACAATATATTACTACAAGACACATGGACATGTGATAATGACCTAATTTATTATTATGACTTGCTACAAACTTAAACAACCATGTGATACATCGTATCAACACATATGCATGATCAAACCACCCTTATACTCTTCTTATTTTCTCTTATTGAAACCATAGGCTATAACATCAAATAGGGCTCTATCCGTGTGATTGGACTGCCCAAACTTGCTAATTGTGAGGTGTAACTCGGCCAAAGATCACAGGACTTACTTTCAAACCACAGCTTCCCTCACTTTTGAATCTCTAGGGTGTCATGTACCTTAAGCTAACCTCCTCGATAAATTAGTAGAGATATCTAGGTTCTAGTTTCTCGATAAACTATGGGACAATCTCTCAATAAACTGTTGGACAAGGCTATACCCTCATGCATTGAAAGGTAATCAAAAATATCATATGAATTTTAACTATTCATTTTCCTAAGTGAACTCTCACTAACTAATTATGATATGTATGGTGCCCATTCATTTTTACACTCTCATTTATTTATTATTAGTACATTTGGCTCATGATAATACGCTACTCAAGTGAGCATCAATCTCAACACAATTATCTTTATCCCAATACACTTAACCACAATTCATATCTATCATACCAATCACCAATTACTCCTTTTAATACAAAATTGTAAATTGAAATTCATTTCAAATTTAGTTTCACATCTCTTGTTCAAATCAAACAAGTATAGTATCTCATGTTTCATAGCATATTATTACATCAACACATTCAATCATTCACGTGCACAAACCCATTTTGACATTAATGTATAATTAATAAATAATTACCTAAAGTAGGGTTTCCCTAATTACCTCAAACCTTTAAGAGATTAAAGATTTACCCTCAATAATTAGCTTCTAAGATTAATTCACAAATGAAATATGATGCCCGAACGCTTAATCTACAATTAGTAAATTTTAAACCCATCAACATTGTCAAAAACACATTTTCACTCCTACACTTTCACTTCTAAAATACCCAACATCCTTAATTCTCATCTTTGGGCTTACTTATTAGGTTTATTTACTCTCTTTAGCGTCCAATATCATTAATGAGTCATTAAACTTTCATTAGTGGCATTATAACTCCTCCAACCACTCTCATTAATGCCATTTTCTATATTTATGGCATTTACCAACCATCAACCAATAAAACTATGTTTAACTACTCTAAATAACTCTCATTAATTCCATTTGAGTCAATGGATTCAGACTCATAACCTATATAAACCGAAAATTATCTCCTATTATCAACTCGTAACAAAAAAACCTTATAAAAATGGAAGAAAAAGGGAGATTAGGGTATGAAGAACTTACCTTAGGTGTTTTATAACACCAAGATACTCCTAAACCACTAATGTGGCAAACCTTAGCAGAGGATTGTAGCTTGCTCTTCGTTTCTCCCTTTTTCCTCCTTCTGATTTTTTATTTGTTTGCCAGGCTATTTATAAAAAATTTTGGCCATGAGTTGTGGCGTACGTAGTGCAAGGCATAGAGAGACCCTCCCTTCTTTGTTGCAATCTGTGTGCTGCAGCGGATGTGCTACATGCCGCAACATGTGGCACAAAGGCAATCTTTCATGTTTTTCTCCTTCTTTCAATACCCGAGGGGCCAAACTTCACTTTGAACCCATAATTAGGACTGGAATCACAACCAAATACATTTTAAAAACCTCTCTAATCACATACTATAACAAATCACTCAATCACCATAATTAAACTTGATTAATTCCTTAATAATTCAAGGATTACAATTTAAGATGTTACAATAGAACTATTACATACCGTTATGAATAACTCCTAACTCATATCAGTATCAACACAACATACCAGTATATAGAGACTATTGTAGAAACCCACGATTGTGACGAACAAGTAGTGTAAGGAAATTAACAAAATGTCGTAGGATGATGAACTACACATAATAGGGCAACGAACAAGTCACTTGAAATTTTTAGAGTTAGGTGAAACTCAGTCATACCGATAGGACCAGTACATACCAATATGAATAACTCATAACTCATATCGATATCAACACAACATACTGATAAGATAGATATATAAATCCATACTCATATCGGTAGATTAGAGACATACAAGTAGGAAACTCAAAATTTCCTCAACCTGATTATCACCATCTTTTCACTAAAATTGAATTCCCTCTATGATTATCTCCTAAACACTTTCTCAATCAAAAACTTTCAACCTAATCTCTTAGTAAGGCTCTCAAATCTTTAATTCAATCTAATCTATGTCTGACTTTTCAAAGAAGATGGCTCAAGTAAAGTTTTCTATAGAGAAGTCACTCACAGATCAACGAATCACTTCAAATGACTTTCATGAGGCTCACAATCATATTATGAAGGGAAAAAGAACGTGTAGAAGTCTGGCAACTGAGGTTTCACTCATAAATTTTGTGAACCTCATTATGTGGTGTCTTGTATACATGCTTGCGATGCTTCCAAGTGAACATGTTTGCGAGCCCTTTTTTCTTCTCCACAATTTTCTCAATAAGGTAACTTTATCATTTAGCTTTTAAAATTAATTTCATATCAGAGCTCTAACCGTGCAGTGACATATTAGAAAATTTGAGATCTTTTTTTTTATTATCTTCAGTTAAGTGATCCTGAGTGAAATTTTTTCAATAACGATTGAGTTTAAAAATTGTTTTTGAGCATATGCAGACGGCGTCAACGCTTTACCCAACAACCTTGTCCACAAGCAACAAAGACAAAAAATCGTAAAAGGTGCAAAGCGATAGATAGATAGGGATAATATACAAACGAAACACAATACCCGAATCCAACGAATACATTTATTTACAAACACTACTTTGTTCATTTCTCAATCTTCCTCCGTCTCTGTACTCTTCCCTCTCGCTTTTCCTGTCTCTTTTTCTTTTTCCTTCTCTGGGGCCTTTTTACAAGCTCATGGAGAGCATAGCATACTTCCTTTCCTTTGCCATTGCTTTTAGCTGAAATTTCAATTTCTGCCCGTTATCTTAAGGGACAGAGAGGAAAAGGGGTCCTTTTTCTGTGATTGATGAGAGGATGGACGCAGCAGAGGAGGAGCTAGAGAGAAGAAGCAAGTTTCTCAATAGTCTGATCCAGAAGAAGAAAGCTGTAGAGCAACAGGAGCATCATGATCGCTTCAATGTCCGCCTCAGGGCTTGTGACATGCCTCTCCCTCTGCAGAACCGCGCTTTTCGCTGCGCGCGTGAACACCTCGATTCCATGCCTGGCAAGAAGCTCGACAGTAAACGTCTTGCCCTAGCACTCAAGAAGGTAGCTTTTTGTTCATTTTGTTATTTTAGTCTACTTTCTTTTTCAAATTTCAGGGTTCTGATTTTTGATACCTATATACGATGTCTTATATAATGGTTTGTTTGGATTTTGGAAGCTTTTGGATTTCATGGAACATGATCAGATATCCCACATAGGTTGTTCATTTCTCACCATGCCTTTCTCGCAGGTCGAATTGGTGCCTTTTTTTTTTGTCCTTTCTGAAAATAAGTTTCAAGTTAAAATAATCCAAGGTTTCCATAAGTTTAAGGATATACAGTTGTTAATAATTTTGGTTTTCATATAATCCATCGGGCGAATATCAATGGGAGTACCGACTTTTCATTCTAGTTTTTATTCAGATGGATAGGCCTGAGCTTGTCTCCATTCTTGATCTTTCTCGGCGATGTAGATCTATGCTTCTAGGACTTCTGTTCGGAATCGTATGCCATCAAGCACATGATCTAACTGTTTCTTTCTGTTTGGTTGAGTAAATTTTTTGTTTGGCAATTTGTTACAGACTGGATATTTGAGCAGGACTATGTCTGTTTTGTAAATACCTTTGGCCAAGCTGTAAATCTGCGAGATATGGGATTGTAGAATATTTTATAAATTTCATAAATTTCTTGATAATAAATTCTTTTATATGGGATTTGGGTGTAATTTTCTCTAAGCTTGCAATAGTCACTTAGGGGATTCACGCATACTGACACACAGTAGGGGGTTTGCAGGCCTCTGTATGCTGTTTCCTATTCCATTGGAAAGTTCTTAAGCTGGAAGATTTTATTAAAAGGGTAGCTATTTTTTTAAGTTTGGCCCTTATCTGGTCCCCTATGGATGTGAGATTTCAATTGTAAAGCATGAAAATATGTTTTGTAAGTATAATGTATATTTTCCACCTTTTCAGTTAACTGAGTATGAAAGAAACTTGAAAGACCAACAGGCATTTTATACTTATGACCATAAATACGTACACATGACTTGGTAGATGCTGCTGGTAATATTGAGAGTGTTACTTTCTCATCTCATAAGTAGGGCACCAAGGTTGCTAGATGAACTGAGGTTATAATTTTATGCTGCCTATTATTTGCACAGCTTGCTTCGCTCGTTAATGAAATTATTGTCATACAGGTTTTGATATATCATGTCAAAAACTGACAGAATGACTTTAATGAATTTTTTTTTTATTATAATCTGTAACGTGTTTTACTTTACAAGATGGGATCTTAACCACTCACAAGCATAGTAGTGGTTGATTGGCCCTTTGTTGTGGAAATTAAAATAGACTGGTCCTTTAATCTGATTCTCCCTTTGTTTTATCTCCAACTCTGCATTATAGAACTAAATGAATTGCTATTGGAATTCTTATGCCACCTTTGGTTATTAGAAAGGAATGAATTGAAAAAATCAAGACAAAAATGAATTAAATCACCCTTCCCCCTATGGCAAGCATGATAAAACTTATTAATATATGTTACAAATGTAAAAATCATCACACTTTTCAAAATTTTTATGAATAATAATTTTTAATCCCATAAACTAAATTATCCTTTCTTTTTATCAATGTTCACCTATTTCTTTTTATCATTTTATTTTTATCTTTATTTTTTCAATTTATTTCATTTCATTTCATTTCATTTTAGTAAATAAACGTGACCTTAGTTTTAGTATTGAGAATTTTTGCTAACCTTGGGATCGTTTGTGCACATCTTCCTTAACTAATGACCTTGGATGGATCATGATGTAAACTTACTGGTCTTTTCAGGAATTTGATTCTTCCTATGGTCCAGCTTGGCACTGCATTGTGGGTACTAGCTTTGGTTCCTACGTTACACATTCTCTTGGTGGTTTCTTGTATTTTTCCATCGACAAGGTTTATATCCTTCTCTTCAAGACAGCTGTTGAACCGTTAGATCATTGATGAATTCCATGTCTTTTTTTCTTTTTGGGGAGTAACATGCTTGTCTCTTTGCAAGATTAAAACTTCAAAAAGATTTACCAATGCGTAAAATCACAAAATGGAAAATCTCAAGACTTTTTATATTCTGTGTTGCATTTGATGTGCTTCAATTTGTCACTGTTTACTTTCTTATTCTTGTTTTTTTTTTTTGGTTTGGTTTATGAGAAAGTGTTAAGTGTAAAATCTGGTATGGCAAGTCACATGACAGACATTGGTTCACCACAGAACAATATTTACTGAATTTTCTAGGACTGATAACAAAATACTGTTGCTAGCTAATCCTTATCCACACAGTAGTTCTTGTTTTAGGAAGCATCTGTAATTAGTAACCGTGGCTGAAGCGTTAGCCTGCAGTTAGGAAGGATGAAGACTGATATTGATCCGAGTAATAACACGGAAATAAACAGCACTGGCAGCAAAAGATATTGTGCTAAATCTAATCAAAAGCATAATGACTTAATGAAAGCATAAATATGGCACATATGTCAGAAAAATTGAAGATTTGATCTTTCACAGACGAATATATAATAATAGCATGAATGCATGATGACTTTTTGGATTTTCAAGGGAAAAGAACGGGGTATGCCGCCGCCCCCAGGAAACAAAAAGAAAGAAATCAGGCACAGTGATGCTCTTTCAGTGAAACGTCAAAATAGATGTGTTCGTGTCGTTTTAAACAGAATGATGTGAAGCACCAAGAATGAGTATGAACAAGTTCAGTATTTCAATTTTTAACTAGCATTTACATTACTGCCATTACCCTTTTTTTTTTAAAAAAAAAGATAATGATAAAATCGCTCCGAATTATATAAATAATAATTTAATTTTTTAAAATGTTAGAATTCTGTTAAAGTTTTTAAGGATTTATTTTATTAATAAATTTATGTAAATGATCAAATTTTTCTCGTAGCAATATCAGAAATTTGACATGTAAAATTATAATTTGTTGTTACATTATTGTGAATATAAAAAGTAAAGTTATGATTATTTAAACAAAACTTGTGATCATCACATGTTATTTTCAACACTTATAACAATATCAAGAATTTAACATGTAAAGTTATGATTTACTGTTGTATTACAAATATTAAAAAAATTGTAATTATTTAAATAAAATTTGTGATCATTATTTGTTATCTCTAACATTTATAATAATATCAAGAATTTGACATGTGAAATTATGATTTAATATTGCATTATTATAGATATAAAAAAAATTGTGATTATTTTATTTTTAACAAGAGCAATTTGATCATTTATATAAATTTATTAATAATAAAAATGTCAACAAGACTTTAAAAAAATTATGGCATTGTGAGAGATCAAGTTATCATTTATATAATTTTAAAAAATTTTATTATTATTTTTTCTTTTTCTTATTGATCGATCTGCTCTTTGTACCTAACGTTTACTTAAACACAAATTGCTCCCACATAAAAGTTCAAGGATTTCTTTTCATATATTTGTAATGAGCGTTTACAGCTACAAAATTAACTCCATTGATAGGAATAGGATATAATTTTCTTGAGTTTAGAATACTTTCTTTGTTGAAAAAATATTAAGCGTCATTTACTTTACTTTTCTATAATCGAGGGCAAAAGATTTTAATTTTAAAACTCAAAACGGCGTCTCATCTTCTTCGCTGGTCAAAACATCTATGCAGTAACTGACCAAATATATATATATATATATATATATGTGCAGTAGAGGAGGCAAGGTTCTTTGCGTTCGCATTTGGCCAAGCGATCGTGAGGGGCAATTTTTGCCTTCCATTTCAATCTAAAATAATTTTTATCATTTATTTAAATTATTTTTAAATATTTTTAATATTATATTTATCCATATAAAAAATGTTAAAAGTTGAATTATTTAGAGTACATTTAAATAATTAATTTATAAAATTTAAAATTTTTTAATATAAAATTAAATCATTTAAATTATATCTAAACTATTTAGAATATATCTGAATAGTTAAATTATAAAATTATAAAAATTATTAATATTAAATTGAATTATTTAGATTAAATATGCACTAGTCAAATTAATAATGAACATATTTATTAAAATTTTTTATATTTTTTATAAATTTATTTTAATAAATAGAAAATAAAAATAAAAATTTTTAAAAAATGGCCTAAATCTCATTAAAAATGCTATGTATCATGATGCTTATTATTTAATGAACACTTAAAAAAACTCAAATTTAATATTAAAATTTTTTATTTTTTTATATTAATAAATATAATATTACAAATATTTAAAAATTTATTTAAATAAATGATTGAGATCATTTCAAACTAAAATAAAGAGTAAGATTGTTCTTGACTTGATGAAGATTGGGCTCTCATGAAAGCAATTTTTTTTTGACTTTTGACTGGTCAATATTGCTGATGCGGCGTCACATGATTCATGATTGCATGCATGCGACCCAAAAGAAGCTGCGTAATTACAGACTCGTCCTTTCAAGTTTCGAGAATTACATTTACATCACTATTTTTCGTAAGTTTTTTTTTTAAAGTAAAAAAAGCAAGCCTAGGGCTTGAAATTACCAAAAAAAAAGGAAATCTAGGCAATCATTAGCCTATCTTCCTATAAAAATACAAAATACAAGACAATAGGCAAGAATATCACTAACAAAATTAATTTCTCTACCATTGTGGTTATTTCGAGCTATCACATCCACATATCTAAGGAGATTTTGATGTGTATGATGAATCTCAACATCCATATTATTATATATAAGACTATGCGTGGCATTAATTTTAACTTTCCAAGGATGATAAGCCACTAAATCCCGAAGAAGCATATTGATGTCATTCAAAGAGTTTGAATACAGGTAGGCTTTTTAAAAACCAAGTTGATGACATATTTCCAATTTGGTTTTAATGGCGAGTCACTTCGCTATTATGATTGGAATATCTTTTAAGTCTCTACAAAACTCCTGAATCCATTCTCCATTAGAGTCTCTAATGAGGCCTCCGCAAGCAGCATGTTGTTAAGAATTAATTAAGGCATCCACATCTATACGGACAGTGTTGACTAGTGGTAGTGTCCATACACTTTATGTTGTGACAAAGTTAAGCAATATGATGTGCTTGAGTTGATTGTCAACAATATTATTGTGAAGATGATAAAGAACACTATGAATCAATTTTGATGCAGTGAGGTAAGATCCTTCAAACATTGACTTATATATGTTTTTCATAACAACTAGCATCCAAATTTGAATATCTTCAACCAAGCCCATTTAGAGAATTGCTTGTTAATAGTCTAATGCTTAGAATTTCAGTTGAACCATTCTTGCTAGTTGCAACAGAAGAAACTAGAATAAAAATTAAGAGAAATCAAGTTTTGCCAAAATTCATGAGCAATGGGACAACCACGTATAATGTGTATAACACTATCCTCTCTCTAACACTCAAAAGGACAATTCCCAGTGGGGGAGAGTCCTAGATTGGCTCTTAGTGAGTTAGTTAGAATTCTCTAATGAAGAGCTTGCCAAAGACAAAAATAAATTTTTTCTTGCACCGGCCATTTCCAACACATCTTCCATAAAAGGTTTGAAGGAGCTATTCTATTATGAAAAAGCAAAATCATATGCAGATTTGACACTAAACTTGCCATCAAAAGAAACCCTCCAACAAAAGGAATCAATATTGTAAAAGGTTGGTGGAGTCATATGATAGATTTGGCAACCACCCAGTCTAGTAAGAAAGCTCTTTAAGCATTGATATCCCAAGAACCATCTAATTTGACAAAATTCTTAACAATGGTAGTAGTATTGAGGAGATGGAGATTTTTGTCAACCAGGGTCAAGAGAGGCTTATCAAGCAGAGACCATAAATCCCACCAGTATTTCATATCAAGCTCGTTGCCCAGTTTCCTACAATCCCAACATAAAAAGGTCCCAAACACTGTGATTCCTTGCCAGATCCTAGAAGAGGAACGCTTCTTACAAACTAACGAGATATGATGATCATCATATCTATATTTTGCTTACAGGACATCAGATTGGGTGAGTAGACTCCAAAAAAGCTTCATAATAAACACAATGTTCTGACTATATAAATCTCTAAATCCCAATCCTTCATGTTGCTTGTTTTCTTTAGCTATTTTCTAGGAAATAAGATGTATCTTGTGTTTCTCCAATTTCTGGGACCATAGAAACCTCTTGCTATAGCCATAAATTTCCTTGATAATGCCCTTAGGAAGAAGAATAGTTTGCATATAATAGCAGGAAAGAGCTGATAAGACATATTTGATTAGAACTAATTGGCCTTCCATATTTAGGAATTTTCCTTGCCAAGAACAGAGCATTTGTTGTACCTTTTATAGAATCAAGGCAAAAGTTAATTTATTAACTCGAGAATGGAGCAAAGGTACACCAAGATACTTACCAAGGTCTCCTATGAGTCTAATACCAAGAATCTACGAGAGTTCCCGAGCTCAATTAAAATGAACATTACTAGAACAAAAAGCCTTGGACTTTGCAAGATTAATCCTATGTCCATAAATGACACAAAATCTCTTCATAATATTGTGAATGAGATGCATTTGATTTGAGGATGCTTTAGCAGATAAGATAAGATTATCGACAAAGAAAAGATGAGATATAAAGGGACCACTAGTGGTAAATCTTAGTGGTTTCCATTTCTTATGAGCACACGCATATGTAATGAGAGGACTAAGTCATTCCATACACAATACAAAGAAGTAAGGACGTAGAGGATCACCTTGTCTTATACCTCTTAAAGGTTTAAACTCATCCTTTTCCTCTCCATTATAGATGACACACAAGGAGGTAATAGTGATGCAAGTCATGATAATTTGTGTTAGGTTATTTTGCAACCCAATACTCAGGAGAGTCTGTTCAATGAAGCCCTAGTCAAGTCTATAAAAGGCTTTCTCCATTTCAATCTTAATGGCTATATAACCTCTGCCCAATTACTTATGACTTATAGTATGAATAGCCTCCTGTGTTATAATGATATTGTCACAACTCTGCCTACCTTTGATAAAATTACATTGATGTAGTTCAATCAATCTGTGCATATATGCTAAAATCATCTTGCCAAAAGCTCTA